GCTCAGCACCCCCAGGCTCAGCACCCCCAGACGCAGCACCTCTAGCAACACCTGAGTCCACAGCGACCTCAACAGGCACAGTACCAGAGAGAGGGTCTACCTGAGACACACCTGAGGGAGCAGGACCCTGAAGGGGGAGGGGGTCTACCGAAGGGGGACCTGGAGCAAGGAAGAGCGGCGGGGGTGGGAGAGGGGCAGAGCAATAGGGGAAGAGACGGTAAAAGGGAAACCGACTCGTCAAACGTGACGTCCAGAGAGGGCAGGACACGGCGCGAGGTGGGGTGGTAAAACTGCCAGCCAGGCGCGTCAGGGGGGAAGCCAAGGAAGACGCAGGGAATAGCGCAGGCGGAGAGCTTGTCCGTGGACGTATCGCGGACAAAGGCACGAGAACCCCAGACCCGGAACATCGATGCATCGCCAACCTTCCCCGTCCAACGCAGTGCAGGCGAGGTCTCCGGCAAGGAGACACGGGGCCAGAGGTTGAGCTGATGCGCAGCGTACCGGACCGCAAACGGCCACATAAAATGGGGAGCAGCCGCATGGATCATGGAGGTATGAGCGACTTCCATGACTAAGTCAATGTGGCGCTCAGCAATCCCATTTTGATACGGGGAGCCTGGAAGCGTGAACGACTGGAGAATGCCCTCCCCACGACAAAAGTCCCGCAAGAGGTCGGAGGAGAACTAACCACCTCTGTTAGACTGCAGATGCAGGACAGGAAGGTCCTGGCAGAACCGCTCGCGGAGCTTGAGATAGACTACGCGGATCCAAGGGATCAAGACATCAGGGACCTCACACTTGCTACGAAAGGGGGAGACCGTGGTGTAACGCGTGTAGTCGTCAACAGCCAGCAGAAATTAGCGCTCGCGGCCCTATCCACTGACGCGGGACGGGCCCCACACGTCCATGTGGAGAGTCTGCAGGGGAGCAGTCATCGGGGGAAATGAGGAGGAGTGAGGAGCGGCGCGCTGCCGCCCCTCGACGCAAGGAAGACAGGGCGAGGCAGGCGAGGGCGGGAGGGGAGGCAGAGATGTGGGAAGACCAGAAACAAGGAGGCGGGAGTGCATGCCACGAAGGCGTGGCAAGGAGAGATGACCAAGGCGGTGGTGCCTCAGGAGTGTCTGGTGCGACAACAGGCGACACGAGCAAGGGAGTGCTACCGGACCTAACGTGGACTCCTGGGCAAACGCAACTACCTGAGGAGGCTCGGTAGCCAGTTTGTAGAGACTCGACCCAGGCGGACGGGTGAATGTGGCCAGGTGACGGCCCGTCCGTATACACGTGCAGATCGACACACGCTAACCCCTAGGATTGGTGGTAGTGACCATCGCATCCTGGAGGGCAGCGATACTCACCAAATTCGTAGAGAACGAGGGGAGGTGAAGACCTGAGAGTGAGCCGGATGGAACCGCCGGACACGGGAGAACAATGGAGGAATGGGCAAGAACTAGGCCCCCTAAGGGTCAGGCAGCCTGACCGGAACAGGTGGAGGGAGTGGAGTGAGAGTGGTAATGTTGCGAAAGAAACAGCGGGAAGCACATGAGTCAAGCGTAAAGGTGTGCAAGGCCTCATCAGGCGTAGTACCAGGGAGAGCAGACTCACTAGCACCTAGAGCAACAGCCTCTATACCTGGGTCGGGCGGTACACACAGGTAACAGTCACCCTCAGCACTAACAGACAAGGCATAGATAGCAGCAAGGATAGCATCATAGTCAAGATCAAAGATAGCAACTCCAGACCTAAGCAGCTCTGCCCAGTGGGGGCGCTCAGCCTCGTCACCAAATTCAGCGCGCCAAGCGTCGTCTAGGCGGGAGAAGCAGCGGTGCTGAGTGTGAGGCTTCCCGCATGTCTGACCAGCACAGTCACTCGTGCGAATGACGTACGGGCAGCTAGCACTACCCCCAGACGCCCCACGCTAAGCAAACCACTCACAAAGCTGCTGGGGTGAAAGGGTCTCGCTCCAACGCTGTTGCTACTGCCTCTGGCCACCCCCAGAACCTCCCCTTGGAACAGCTCCACCCCGACTGCCACCACTCCCACTGCTGCCACTACCACCACTCCCACCGCTGCCACCACCACCGCCACCAAAGCCCCCACTCCCGCCACCACTCCCGCCGCTACCACCACCTCCGCTACCTCCACCACCTCCACTGTTGCCCCCACCACCAGCCCCGCTACCACCGCCACCACTCCTGCCACCCTTGCCCTTGCTGCTGCGGCGCTTCCCTCTAAGAGCAGAAGCAGCCTCGACATCCGCAGCACCAAGGATGTCAACAGAAGCAGCAGAGGTGTAGGAGGGGGCAAGGGGGGAGGGGGAACACCCCTCAAAGAAGGGCGTGCGAGGAGTGCCAAGAGCAGCACCTACAGTGACTACGCTAGTCTCAGCTGCAAGGAGGTGCTGCTCGAGTAGGTCGACAGTGAGGTCCGTGGGGTCAAGTGCGAGAAAGTGGTCCCTGAAAGCGCGAAGAGAGTCAGGGAGGCGGGTGACTATGAAGTAGAGAGTGATGTACATCAAAATCAGGTTCCT